GCCACGTGTCTTTCAACAGCATGCGCACCCTTCGCAAGGCGTCGTCCTGGCGGACATGGTGCTGGACAAGCGAGTAGTAGGCTGCAGGCTGCCGATGCAAGACGGGATGAGCCACCGCTGAACTGCAGCACACATGTTCAGGGCATCGTATTCTGATGAATTTTGATGTGCCAACCCCCATTCCGGGTTGAGAAGCAGATGTCGGCACCTGCGCCAATCCTGAACTGGATTAACGGCCAGTGGCCAGCAATGCAGCCCTGAGCAAACTGTGATCCAAACAGATCTTGTTGCGTGTGTATGCGCCAAATCTGGTCAGGAAACAAAGTCACCTTTTTAGATTCCAGTTGGTCGCTTCAATCTTTGCTGTCGATCAAGTGTTTCAATGTGTTTCATGCAACTCGCACTCCGGAACGGAGAACAAGGACATGTAAGACGACGATTGATTTCAAATTTTCAGAGTCAATCAAAGCTCCTCTTCACATGCTGGCGTCTCATCCGCAATCCCCGCGGCGGTCTTGGGCTGTGTGTGCACCTGACAAGCCCACTCCATAGTCCCAGAGTCCCACAAGCATGTCGCTCGAACTTTCCAGCACCTGCTGTCACAAAAGTGCGGCGGGACGGCCAGTGCCACGGCGAAACTGGAGGGATGCTCGTCTTCAATGATGATTGTGACGCCTCAGGCTTTTGAAAAGAGCGTTCCAGGAATGTGCAAAGATGTTTCACGCCAGGTGGCTGTTCATCCCTGGTCTGAGAGCAGCTGAGACGTCTTTGGGGACCTTGCACACATGCATTCTGAACTGTAGCATCTTCGTATGATTGCCAGCGCACGCAAATACACGGTGTTGCAGAATTCAATGAAGAACAAAGACGTATCAGCGGTGTGTTCATATACTCCATACACAACCTCGAGCGAGCGCGCAGCAATGGAAGAGCGACACCCTTTACGGAGGCTGAATATAGGCAATAATGCTCCCATAAGCATCATCAGCACGACCAGAGTCTGGACAACACAATGCACTGTCCTGATGTGCACTCAGGAGACCTCCTTCCAATTGCTGACCTGTGGTTGGGAAGCGCGTATGCAAGGCTTGTGGCGATTGCCACACCCTAACCAATGCCCAGGATTCAGCTACAACCACCGGAAATGAACAGCAGCTTTCCGGGGAGGCACCGTCCTGATTCTAAGGCACTGCTTGGCTTGACGAGCTCGCCGCGGTTGCCTCTGCTCCTAGCGAGATCTGCGTTGACTGGAAGGGCAAAAAGCCCTGTCTCGGCTGCTCTCATTTCCTGAGGACGGCCTGCCTTTCAATGCCTTTCACAGCATGCTCTGGGGAGTGGCTGGCTGATATGTGCTTGGTTCATCCGTGCTGTTGGTGGCAAAGCATATATATATACCGCCATTGACCCTTGCTCTTCACCAGGACCTCACATCTCTTCCAAGCTTTGCAACTCGTCAAGCTGGCAGCAGTTTCAGGGCCGAGGAACACAAGGAGCTAAGGCCAGCTAAGGAGCCCATGAGTCTGGAAAGGCTGTACACTGGCTGTACACAAGTATCCCAAGAAACGGAAGGACTCCACGGCGCCACATCAGACATCCTCCATCAATCAGGGCAGGAGAGAGGTCAGCTGAGAAACACAAGTCCACAGCGGTATTCTTGCTATGTCAGGTCGACTGGAAGGAGCATATGCTGTCTTCGCTGCTTTCATCGGCTTGGCGGTGTGCAACTCCAAGGCCCTGGCATCTCTTCGTACATGCCCCTCTTCCGGAGGTTCTATTCTGAAGACCTGCCAGCACACTTGAAGACTGGAGCATCATGTTCAACTGTATGACTCTGTATGACACTTGAAGCTTTGGGCGGAAGTGCAGGAGGATGGGAAGTGACACGGGGATAGAACGTGGAAGGGCTTGAAAAACAAAATGGTCGGGTTTGAGGCATCAAACAACACACTTGAGTGGACCGGAGCTTTAGACCCCCAAATGCACGCTGCGAGTGCATTCGGCTTGTACCCACGAGTGCGAAGATGGCGGCAGGAAACGTGGTTCGGCATGAAAGTTGCTTCCACCCGTCCCCATGCACCCAGAGACCCCTTGGACGTATATTGCTTTATATAGGATGAAAGAAATCCTCCCACTGCAAAAAAAGCTCAAACTGCGTACGGCTTGCGGGATTGCACTGGGAATTGAAAGGCGATCAAGCATCATAAGTAGTTTGGCCTTTGTGGAGCTAAAATTGTATTCTAGAGGGGGGCAGACGGCAGCGTTGCCACACATTTAGCTACCGTATGCTACCGCCACAGAAACTTGCGTAGGAGTCCAGATGACATCTCTACTCATGACCCCCTTAACCTTAGCAGCTTACAGGAAGAGGGCGTGTATTCTGGAATGTCCCTCCACAGCGACAGGACGTGTACAAGGCGAACTGCATGAAAACAAATCGCCTTGGGCCTTGGCAGTGACAAATGAGGTGGACAAATGAGGTGGACTCCGAAGGGAAGAAAAACAGCTGGTTCCACAGCCATGTCGCAACCCCCTCAAAGCGCTACGGTCCGAGAACGTGGGAATTCCGAAAGTGAAATTTCCAGCAGCAGGAAAACACTTCACCGCCGTGCTTTTGTGTAGGGGAACATGCCTGTATGCACCTGTATGTAGGAAGAAAAGTTTGCTTGTGTTTAAGGTTCTTACTCGTTGCAAAAAATGATTTCCTATGAAACCCAAGAAGCCAAGTTCCCAGGCGGCACCTTGCGTAAATCTACTTAGGAAGGTTCCAATGCGGCCGCCAGTTCCTGCATCCCAGGGAATGCCAGCACGCTGTGAAGCTCCAAGCCAGCACCGTTGGTTCTCGCTTAGTTGGAGAAGGTCGCAGTAGCCCATATTCAATTTGCGACTGAGCCCCTGGTTCCGAACGCAAAATCACGAAGCTTTGACAGGAAGGGCTGATGCAACGAGACCTCTGCGCCGTTTGCTGTCATGATCAGCTTGGTCGGCCAGACCTGACACAATGCCACAGCTTGCGGGTATGGCACACCCAATGGCACGTCAGGCAGTGCTGTAGATGTGCCGGAAACACCTGGGCAGTGATGTCGCTGTTGACCTTCACGCACCTGTCAGACTCCATGTCACTCCTCTGTCCACTGCGACATGTGCGATTGCCGACCTGCAGAAGATGCTTTGATCCTCCTTTCTCCACGCCCTGTCATGACACGCATGGCTTGAGTTGCAGATCTTCAGCCCTTTGTCTGATCTTCCCGAAGAACTAATTCAGTTGGGCGCACTTCAGCTCAGGCAAGTCCAAGTTGAAGGACCATGTGGGCCGCATAAACATGTGTTGTCGCAAGATGCCTGGCCGGTCACAGCTGTGGAGTGGTGCAGAAAGGCATTAGCATGCAAAGACACAAGCGGCTCAGCAACAGGCACGTCAACACACATCACCCTCTGTCAGTCACAACCCCACAAGCACTCGACATCTCTCGTGCAAAGCAGGCATGAAACATGACAAGCGTACCAGATGGCTCTATGATCGCGTTGAAGGGGTCCATGTGCCTGGCGATCGTCTGGCTACTTTGCGCGTGCATGTTCCAATCCGACTATCAGATATCTCTCGAGCTATCGAAGTTTTCGAAGTTTTCGAAGTGCCTGAAGCGGCACAGTGGACACCAGAAATTCTCCAGTGCTCGGGTGTACTCTGCGGTCTGCAAGTCGAAGTCGCTGAAGCAGTACCTCTACCCGACACGGAGAATCACTTGAGAATCTGAATCTGGGGAGATTGGATAACATATCTGGAGATGCTCAGAGGCGCACGTGCACTTGAGTACTCTGGCAGCCAGCATGCCGATGTGGCCTATGTCGCTCTCCTTGGAGAACGGCCCGGTGCCGAGCTTGTTCCTGGAGACTCAACACAACACAGACACAGCACTGAAGAAGGGCACAAAACAGCACTGAACGGCAGATGCATACTGAATGCATACTGAATGCGGACTCGGCATACTCCTCACTGGCACGAGGCTGTTGAGCGCACAATCAACGCTCTTTGGCTTCTTCCATGGTGAAAATTGAAATGAAGGTTCGGCGGCATGACAGCCAATGACAGCAAGAAAGTCCTCACGACGCTCTTGCCAAGTATCCCTGAGCGATTCTGAGCGCAAACTCGGAGCGAAAACTCGCGGCCCCCTGTTTTAAACGGTGAACTCTACTGTTGTTTTCCTGTCTGCATCTCGCTTGTTTTGCTTTCTTATTCCGTCCGTGTAAATCCACTCAAGAGCCCGTGCTGGAGAGAGCAACTTGCAATAGTGGTTGCCTGCTCCATAGGCCGGACCGGACATCGGATAGAAGGCGTACCACGAGGACACCTCGGTTCCTTGGGACGTATGGTGGAAATTAAGATAATTCCAGATCCACCATGGTCCTGCTGGTGGCGTGGGCTTTCTGTCTGCTACCATGATCAAGGGCCGACCTTGCTTCTGGTATCGGGCCCGTGCTGCTTCCGATGCTGCACCCAAAGCCAGTTCGTACGCAGCTTGGTTGATGGTCTTGCACCGGTCGCCTTGATCCAAGTCCGGAGAGCTCGCATGGCCGGTGACATTGAATACCAACTCTCGGCTGGCGAGCTTCGTCGCGATCTCGATGGCAGATGTTGGGGAAGCCCCATCGTCTTGATAAGAGTTCTTGCTGTCTGCCAGCACTCCGGCTTTCTCCTCCCTTATGATCTCCCAACCATTCAGGCCAGCAAAGGTTTGCAGGACCGATACCTGTACATAACGCAGCTGAGTGACCGTGCTACTGACAACTCCTTGCTGAAATGATATGTTTGGTCGATGCTTGGTGCGGTAGTATGGTGGAATGAGATCTTCATCGCTGAGCATGCGGAACTCGTTGCGAGCTTGAGTCCAAGCAACCCCCTCTGGAAGCGGTTCTGCCAGCTTCTGCTGCGCATCTGCAGCCCATTGGCTACTGCCATGCTCGTCACTGTTCGAAGTCCACCACCAGCTGCCCTCTTGCTCTACAAACATACGCACGAAGGGTCCAAAGAGAGCGGCTTCAACGTCACTGTGCAGCCGTCCTGGCTCCATCAAATAGTCGGATATGATCTCCGCCACTGCTTCACGAGCTTGGTCTGGGCCAATCTCACTCTGAAGATCAGACGCTGTAACAGCGGCCGGGGCTACATCAACAAGGTCACTGTGGCTCATGCCGGCTACGAGCTTCACTTTGTGCTGTGGCAAGGCTTCCTGGGTGTACCAAGCCTCTGCCAAACGCGAGACTCGCACCACCCCATCAAGCTCCCCCCCGATACTCAAGGTGGGCAGTGGATACTGCGGAGCTGGAACAGAGGGTCCTGTGCAATTGTGGACCCCTTCTGGCAGATAGCCACCCGGACACAGAGGTTTGCCTGGACAGGTCAAGCTTGGCTGCCTATCCCAAGTTTTGGCACACGCTGTGATGCTCGGACGCCATGCACGGCCAAGAAAGCCAGCCAAAAGCACAACTGCTTGGGCTTTGGTCTTGGACGTCGCCGCAAAGGTCTGTGCTGCAGCAGCCCCACCCACTCCCATGCCGTGGCCCATGTAAACGAGTGATGATCCTGGGTTGGCTAGGAGAAGCTCCTCCACCTTTGGTTCCATCTCAGCAAAAGTCTCATAGGATCCTGCGGGCATCAAGATCTTCAAACCTTTGCCACTGGCCTGCCGCTGAACTGCATCCAGCAGACCTGAGTAGGTGCTATCAGAGCGTCCTAGAAACGCCAGCACCACAGACTTCGACTCCTCAGCTTTCACTGGCTGCGCCAGAGGCCAGAACAACACTAAAGTCAACAATGACCATAGCGACCACACCATGGCTGCCGGCGGAAGCAACGCCTGCTTCAGCAAACACGGCTCCACAGCATCTGCAGTGCTACCATGTGCTACCACTCCGACTGGCTGTTCCTTCGAGCACCACGAATGCCGATCCTGTCAGCCCGTAGACCAGTCTACATTACTTCTAAAACCCAACTAACGCATCACGAACCAGCCTGATTTTGCTTTACTTTCTCTCCTCTCACCCAGACACTACAGCAAACGAGTCTCTCTGCTGTCCCAGTTCCTGAAAGCAACACAGGCTTCGAAGCGAATGCCAAGCGGAAGGTTCCGCCTCGGAACAACCGCAATTGGGACTCAACTGCCAGGCTGGCCGATGTCACAAGCCGCAGGCAAATCCACCTCTGACTGTGGAAAAGGTATGAGCTCGGGTTCCTGCTTGCCATCCAACGATGCTGAAGCAACACAACTTCTCAGCACGAAGAATCAAGGCCATGTCGAGTGCCGTCCTGTTCCGGCGACACATCTATCAAGGCCCCACTGCTGGGATGTGCCTCACAGCGTGCACCAGTGTGCGACGAGACCCATGTTTCAGCAGTCGCACGTTTAGGAGGGTATCGAACTTAAACGTGGCAGCTTTGCGAAAAGCCACTTCCTAGCTCCAACGGCTCGAAACCGCACCAGCGCTCCGGATATTGGAGGTACCTTGAGAAGATGCACTCATGCTTCTTTTGTCTACGTGCGACCTCCCTCTGCACAATAAAGTAAGGAAATACTTCCTGCAAGCATTGTCCCTGCAGTTCTTTCTTGAGAGGCAACTCGTCCAAGCTCCAAGCAGGATCTATGAGTCACATATCAAAATGGTGTGTGTGTGTGTGTGCGTGTGTCGGTGCATGCGTGCATTGCATGCCTCCATGCACGCGTGCATGCGTGTGTGCATGCGTGCATGCATGCGTGCGCGCATGCGCGTGTGCGCACATCCTTACTTCCGTTCATGCGCCCGCGCGTCCATGCGCGCGTCCGTCTTTTGTCCGTGCGTCCCGCAAAAGCTGGCGGGGGTACGAGCGAGCAGGCGGGGATGGGTGTTTGATGGCGGACGGGCGGGCATGTGCAGCGTGCGCGCGGGCATGCTGGCAATTCCTCCCACTCTGGGCGGCGCACGCAGCTCATATACTGCCACTTGACTCGCATCAGACCTGTCAGAGACGAAAACCGCAGCTGAACAACGAGGCAACTTGCCCACCTTGACCGACATCCATGACGTACAGTCGCGGCTCCTCGTTGCTTGAAAATGCTCGCATACTCCATTGCAAGTTGGGACACAGATTGCAAGTTGGGACACAGATTACTGCATATGTTCTGTCCTTGGGCTGCGTGGGAGGAGCAGGCAGCTTTAGCTCACCTGCTAGATGCGGTGTTTGTGACGCTTCGTGACGTTCTGTGACCTTCATGCAGCATTGCGCAGTCAGCCGCCTATGCAGGCTGGCTTGCTGATTTCTGATTCGCAGCACCACCGATTGTTGATGAGAAACGACACCATAGCCTCGCAAACTGCCAGAGGGTCTTCACTTCTATGAACCCGGACTTCGAATAGGAACTCGATTCCAACGAGATCGTGCGAGCACGAGTTGGAATCTGCATCAGATAACTCGAGGGCCGAAGCCCTACTCACAGATACAAAAAGAAACTCAGAAACCGTGATGGAACCGTACAGAACCCTTATATAGGCTTGAGTAGCAACAAAGTGTGACGGAACAACTACGCCACGGTACTGTAAAGTGAGTATCAATGGTCCCACCAGTATGAAACAGCTTGCAAAGCCCTCGTTTCTATCACAGGCTTCCAAACCCCGGCCTCGTACTCAATGCCTTCCTCTAAGCCAGTGGCGATTGTCTCAGAGGCGGGTGCAGCAATGGCACCACCAGTGCCTGGGCAAAGCAAACACCAACAAACATGCGGAGATTTTCAGGTTTGAGCCATTCAGGATGTGACAAAGATACCAATTCTGGTTGCCAACCCGGCGAAGCCTCGGACATCAAGTCTGCGGCAGTAATCACATCATGTTGCTGGCGCTGTCCTACGAGGCATGCACTTGACAATGGTCTGCTTGGCTTCGTCGGGTAGCTTCCATTTCACCTGGCAAGCAAAACGAACGCCGCCTTTCTCAGTGCCCTGAAAGACAGTGTGTGGCCCACATGCCTTCATTTTGCCTTCCCCCTGCGGCACCATCACTGGAACCTTACATGCATTCTGTACAAGAGCAAGGGAAGAGTCTGCAAATGTCCCTCCCCGGCCCTCTGGTGCTTGCCTCAGTGCTTGCACTTTCGTGGATGACAAGCTGCATCCCACCAATCTGCCCCTGGCAGAAGAAACGCTGCAAACTCCATGTCAGTACTCAGCAGTAAGTAAAGGGCATGTCCTTGGCATCAATGTTGGCAACGCTGTCGCTCGCCATAGAGTATTCTCCAAAGCCCTGCAAACTCAACATCTGGAAGTTCTCTTCAAAGATTGCAAAGCTCAAAAGGCTCGAGACCAGACCTCTGCATTGCGGCAGCAAATTTCTGCTGCATATTCGACGCAATCCTTGCGGAGAATCACAGCTGCCAAACGACGAAGCAAACAATGTAGGTTTCTGCAGGCAAGTCCTGAACATCTTTGATGTGAACCTACGCAAGATTCACAGGGAATCTCATAGAACTACCACAAGCTGCTCCAACTATCTGATGAAAGCTTGCCGCATGTCTGTTTGTTTGTCGACCACCTGAAGCCCGCCTCCGTTCTGGTGGCTGCGAAAGTCGTCCGGCCAGAGGTCACCAAAGCCCCAGATCCATCAACAAGCCACTTGTTTCCTGGCTTTTCACTCCAGTCAGGGACACTTCCGAGGTCTGCCAGTCAGCCAGTCCTGTTCCCACATCCGTGAGCTGCACCTGCAGCAGCACGACCAACAAGATACCAGCAAAGTCATCACACCGGAGTTGTGAAGCGGAACTCAAAAACACACGCCTTGCCTGGGTTGCTTCCACAGGTGGGCATGAACTCGGAATCGCCTCATTGGGGGTTCTTGCACAAATTAGGCCTACATGAGAATTGGACTTCAGGCGGTTCTACCTGGGCTTCACGCCCAAGAGACTCGCAGCTTCCCCTTTCCCAGCGCTGTGAGAGTTGGGGCCGTCGGTCTGGGCGGCTTCTCCTGTGTTCGATTTCGAGTGCAAAAATATGCGCCATGTCAGATATGTTCCACAACTGGACCCCACCACAAGACAATCGCAGATTCACCACTTCGCTGTTCTGACAAGGGCGGTCCCGTGGCTTGAGGGCCCCGAAGAAGCCAGGCTCACTGAAAAGCGATGGCCTTCAAGGAGAAAAACAGAGTGACTTTACATACTTTGGGGTTACCATCGACAGCAGACTCAAGCTGCTACATCTGAGAGAGCCACTCACTCCAGCCCTCGCTATTCATGACAGCGAGAACAGCCTTGTAGAAAGCATCGAAAGCAACATTAGACATTGCGGCAAGTTTGCACCTTAGCCGCGTGACGATGCAGAAAACCCAGACAATCATGGACTGAGGGCCTCATACTCGATGCCCTCTTCACATCCGTCCACGACTATCTCGCAGATCGGCGCAGGAATCTGCGGAGGCATACAAAATTCCTTTTGAATCATCGTCTACAGCAACACAACTGTCCAACTCGGCTTCGCACAGCTGTTCCACCCTTTGGAACAAGCTTTGCTGTGCCATGGTCGTAAACATGAAGCCTTGACGCGCAACACGTTTTGCTCCAACGTTTGCACCAAACGGAGTCTTGGATTCGTTGAACATCTGTCAACATGCATGGCCTGTGACCGCCTCGTATTCGAAGCTTTAATGATGATGCAGTGACCTTGATGAGATTGAAACTTGTTCAGACAGGTTCACCAAATGCGCAATGCTCGTCAACCACTACGGGCGTGCTTCGGGCTCAACGTCTGGGATGATCCAAGAGATCCTGGCACGCAAAACTGACATTCTTTCTGACCAAGCACGCCGTCATGCAACTTCAAATTTGCCGACACTGATTGCCCAGCATCTCCTTAAAGACGAGCTCGCACCGACTACACACGGCCTGGAAAACACGAACCAATCACGTTGATACTGCGCATGCAACATTTCCTGGCCGATTTAATGCAATACCGAACGGCTTCTCGGGCGCAGGTGGCTTGGCCATGGCTTTGCGCCGTCCCGCCGGGGACCTGGCAGACACAAGAGCAAGCACTTGCAGACCAATGTGAACAAAGCTGACGAAATCAGATGACAAGCTCTCGAACTGCAGTGATGTAATCGGCTGAATGCCACACGCCCACAGGTCAACTGCCTTGTACGCAGCGCTGGCGCCGCAAGCCGCCAGTGTTGCAACCAAACACAATGTGAAGATTACTTGTTAAAGTTGGCTAGCTAGCAACGGCTAGACAACGTGAGTTCATCAACTCAACCAACTCTTACCAACTCCCGTACAACGACAACCACTAACGGCTGATGCAATGTATGCCTGCTCCTCCCTGCTAATCACATCGCAGCTGAACTCCAAAAAGATTCAGGTCAACATGGTGTCCAAACAATGTTCATGTTGTCACAGGCGCTCTGCCATGTAGCATTGCTGGAAAACCTAAACCAGCAAATATGTTTTTGGTAGGAGACGTGCATGTATAACAGAGGAATGGTTATAAGATGCTTGCAAATCCCATGTGACATAAGGAACAAAAGTCTTTTCCTGCACTTTGTGCTCTACAAGCCAACGGCGAACCCTGGTTCAAAAGTCGTACAACACGAAATCCTTTGGTGCACTTCTCCAGCTTGCAAAAGATTTGCATTTGGATTTGTGTCGAGGCCCGACACGGCACCGAATCCCGCCGCAAAGCCGGGCCCGGCGCCTGCTGATACACGCATATTTGCGTGTAAAAAGTACCCCCCTTCTTCTGATGAAACAAGACGCTTTGGGCCACATGCAGCGTTGGGACCCAGTGATTGCTTGTAATTGCAAAGAAGCTTCGTAGGATTTCATATACTAACCGCCCTCTTTGATCGCAGATTGTGAAAGGCTTGCATTTGGCATTGCTTGGGGCCGCGCCGGACCCGACTCAGCCCGGGGTTCCGACGCAGCGCCGGGGCCCGACGTAGCGCTGGGGTGGCGACAGCAGTGTGTGGATGAGACGGACCGCTGGAGTGGCCTACTTTGAGTCCTGGAGCTCCAGAAGGGAAAGAAGATCAACGAAGAACTGCCAGTTTGAGGGAGCCAAGATGTCGTCAAGGGAGCAGTTTGGCGGTTCAGCACTGCATTTTGATTAGTATGACCGGAGCAACAGCTGAGTAGAGACCCCTGCATGCTATGAGTGCATCTAAAAATCCGAGACACGCACGTGCCAACTGCAGAACAGCACCTTTTTCTGTGATATGCTATAAGGCCAAAGATGTCACGACAGCATGTGCGTGCCAACACGCCAGCACTTCTTGTGGGTTTAGGATTGAGGCTATAGGATTTAGGGTTTAGGATTTCGGATTTAAGGATCAGGGGCTTCTCCGGGGCCTTTGGGATTAGGATTTAGATTCAAAGGGCCTCTCCGGGGGACTTCTAGGATTCAAGACCTTTCACATCTTCCTGGGCACTCATCGTGACGCGATGTTCAACTCGGAGGGGCGATGAGCGACGATGCAAATGGCCAGGCCTATAAATGGCTACAGATCGGATTTGGGACAAGGTTTCTCGGAAGCGGGGATCGAATATTATGGGGCTAGGAAACGTTTTTCGAGAAGGGGCCTTCATGCTGTCAGGACGGGTACTACTACCATGCTACCTGGAGGTCCCGTCCTGATGAACTTCGGACTTCGATTCAAACGCCCTGCGTCTTCAAACCTGGCATCCTCTGCAGAAAGCACCATCTCGCACATCTTGTCTTGCCGATACTTGAACTTTTTGCTGCTCACGGTCGTGATCCCATTACTGCCGACCTTTCCCAATGGATCTGCTGCTTCTACGCGCGATTTGCGCTGCAGCCCGACACTCACTGGCAGGTCTTGGAAAAGGCTGGCCTGCGAACCTGGGTTCTTGCAGACCTGCTGCAGCCCTTGCACCTGGCTTGCATCTTGATCCAGTCAGCACCAAAAGAATAAGTTTGCTTTACGGGCAAGTCATAGGGCAGTGAAATCACGAGCAAAGCGCAGGTTGTGCCGAAAATGTCAAGAGCAGCAAACGCGAGGCTGCATGCTAAGCAGTGGGATTTCGAGAAGACAGAAGATCTCAACGATCCTTTAAGCAGTCGTAGCCCTTGTGGCTTCCGTCAGATTACCGGGAGGTCAAAAAACCTGCAATCGATGCTTCCACTGCCAGGTTCCGTCCAATCATATCGACTCTCATGTGAAGGCTACAGCCTGCTGAGGTCACACTTCAATGTCGGAACACTGGTTTCAGATAGCGGCAGGTATGGGCACTCCCGTGAGATTCTTACTCTCGCAGGCAGAGCTGTGTGCTTCTGCAGGAGAAAGTTTAGGCGCGAATTCAAGCAAAATTGCTGCTGCTCTCGGAGACTTCATCGCTAAACTTCTTTTCCTGGGCGCTGGCGCTGGAGCCGAAGGAGAAGATGTTGTCCATCAGACCAAAGATGATGCCACCGAGAGTCAGAAAGATGGCGCCAATGACCTGGAAGACGTGGGTCCAGGCCCAGGCAAACGTCTTCTGCTTGTACAGGTCGGTTGGTGCCTCGAAGTCTTCGTACTTCACTAAGCCACCAATCAGTGTCGGGCCCCACAACCCGATTACACCGATGGTCCAAGCACCGATAAAGAAGCACGCCACAGCCCAGAAGGGGCTGACGAACTTGTTCTTCGGAAGGCCCCGGACGCCGTTCAAGCCCATGGAGGTGGCAACCATGAAGCACGTGATGCCGTAATAGGGACAGGCATCCGCAAAAAGCGCGTTGGTGTCAGGCGCCAGAATGTAGTGGATGCTGATAACTTTCCCCGGGACTCCGTCATACAGACCGGATACAGCAAAGAAAATGCCACCGAAGCAAATGATCGTCTGCACAACAGCCAGCGACGCATTGTTCACCATCACGTTGATCTTCGCCAAAAGGCCTGCAGCCACCGCCCAAAGGACACCCTCGGCACACATGGTCACCTGCATGATTGTGTGGACGGCGCCAGACATTTCGAACCAATTGAAGGTAAATGCACCCGTAATGAGGCAGAAGGAGACGACCAAGGTGATACCTGCCCACACATTGCACCAGTCGGCCACGAGCACCATGAACCGCGGTGGCACCGGAATCTTCACATCTTCCTGGGCGCTCATCGTGACGCGATGTTCAACTCGGAGGGGCGATGAGCGACGATGCGAATGGCTAGGGCCTAAATGGCCACAGTGTGGCAGTGGATTTGGGCGAAGTCAGTGCCAATTCCGAGCATATTTTGAGGGCTGGGGTTGAGGGTTAAGGTTCTACTCAAGCAGGGGCGGGGGGGCCAACCCTAACCCAGGTTGAGGAACCCGGACCCTAACCCGGTATTGGGGTTCGTGTTCCAACCTGGGGCAGGGAACAGAAGGCAGCAGGTTAGCATAGCCTGAACCCTAAACCCTCACGCTCGGTTCGGGTTGGGTTACCCTAACCTTAAGCCGGGCAAGGGTTAGGGTTAGGGTTAACCCAACCCCAACCCTGCTTACCGTCAGGGCCAACCCTCTTTCCTTCCCTTACCCCTCACCCCTTAGCACAGGGGGGGGGGGGTGGTTGAGGGGTGGAATTTAAACGCATTCTCCACTTCCCTACTTCTCTAGTTTGCGAATTCTGAGCTCAAAAAACAAGAAACGAGAGGGGTGGAATGTAGATGAGTTCTCTACTCCTCTGATTTTCGAAAATGAACACATGAAACAAAAACGACAAAAAAGGGGGATGGAATGTAGACTAATTCTCTACTTCTCAAATTACTCTCTACTTCTTCTCTGATTTTCGAAGAATGAACACAAAAAGCAAAAACAAGAAACGAGGGGGGTGTTCTGCTGTCGAATGATGCAATGAATACAAGAAACAAAAGCACAAACGAGGGGGGGGTGGAATTTTGATTAATTCTCTACTTCTCCACCTATTCTCTACTGTTAAAATGATGAACACAAGAAACAAAAACCAGAAACGAGGGGGTGGAATTTAGATGAATTCTCAATCGTTTGATTTTGGAAAAATGAACACAAGCAACAAAAACGAGAAACGTGGGGGGGGATGGAATGTAGACTCATTCTCTAAATTCTACTTACTCTGATTTTCGAAGAATTTGAAAACAAGAAACAAAACAAGAAACGAGGGCGGGTGGAATTTAGATGAATTCTCTACTCCTCTGATTAGATTCAAACGAAAAAGCCCAAACATCCTTCGCGGACCTGCTATTACTACAACACCACTCCTCCTCCTCCTCCTCCTCCTCCTCCTCCTCCTCCTCCTCCTCCTCCTCCTCCTCCTCCTCCTCCTCCTCCACTGCTACTGCTACTGCTACTGCTACTGACTGCACTGCTACTGCTACTACTGCTACTACTACTACTGCTACTACTACTACTACTACTACTACTACTACTCTACTACTACTACTACTACTACTACTACTACTACTACTACTACTACTACTACTACTACTACTACTACTACTACTACTACTACTACTACTACTACTACTACTACTACTACTACTACTACTACTAGTACTACTAGTACTACTACTACTGCTACTACTACTATTACAAATCTACTACTACTACTACTACTACTACTACTACTACTACTACTACTACTACTACTACTACTACTACTACTACTACTACTACTACTACTACTGACTACTGCTACTACTACCACCACTACTACTACTAGGTGTCGGTACCATTCGCGACGGTGCATTTTCCTTGGATTCCTAGTGCAAAACGCTAGGTCCTAGGTTTCCTCTTTTCTTCTTGCTACATGTACTTGCACCGTACGCCTTGCCAGTTTGGGTTTGGGGCTGTTAAACTGAAACATCGGTATTTACGACACTTCGTGGCTTCTTTGCGTGCGAATGGCCAGAGCATCCATGTCCGCACGATGATAACGTCCGTGTTACCAGCGCATCCATGTTGACACGGTGAGAACTGGTAACGTCCGTGTTACCAGAGCATCCATGTCCGCACGATGATAACGTCCGTGTTACCAGAACATC